TGCTGTACATTTTTTTTATAGATGTTACTAATTTGAGAACTATACTGTAGTATGAATTAACTTGTGCAAAAAACTTGACTTCCTGTGTGCCCTATTTGCAAGTTTGAACGGGACAAATGATTTCACACCTCAATGTAATGAGATGGTTAATGATTGCTTTGAAAAGAGTATCAAGTGCGGAAAGGTGTCTTCTGCTGGCGTATGGTGGCAGCAGGGGAAACGGAGAAGTGCATGTATTATTCATGCGGCTTCTCCCCCTTGACTTTAGTGCCAGTGTTGCTGTCAGTGCAGAGATACTGAGGGACAGGGTGTGGCGGGTGCAGCAGCCACGCTCCACAGCAGTGCACTCTCTGCTCCAAAGCTGCTCACACTCACTGCAGGACAGCATGGCTCACGACTCTCTAACATGATCTGCGGTTCTCTTCTTTAGGACATGGAGCTGATCGACATACTGTGGAACCAGGACATTGATCTCGGAGCCAGGCGTGAGGTGTTTGACTACAATCACCGTCAGAAAGAACATGAGCTGCGGAGGCAACGGGAGCTGGAAGAAGAGAAGAGGCAGCATCTGGTGCGGGAGCAGCAGAAGGCCCTGCTGGCACAGCTTCAGCTCGATGAGGAAACGGGAGAGTACATCCCCTGCCCGCCACCCAGCGCCCCGCTGCAGTCGGCTGTCACACCTCTAGAGGTTACACAGGTACACGCACAATGCCATCATTACTCATGTCAGAGCTGGACCACTCCCACATCATTTGATAGGCTGTGGCTATGCCGTAGCTATGCCGTAGCTAAGTAACCACTCATCCTGCGTAATTACAGAAACACAGGTGGGTCTGTAGCTTTGCATCGGTTTATTCTGCTCAAGAAACAACTCAACAGAGAAATAACTTCTATAAGCCATGTACTGTTTTTAAAATATGGTGAGCTGCAAAGGATGCTATGTGTTGAAACTGAACATGTTTTACCGTGTCTTGCAGAATGCCAGCTACACAGAAGAGAGCGGTGATGCCATGTCATTCGATGAATGTTTGCAGCTACTGGCAGAGACATTTCCTGTAGAGGAAACTGAGGTAAGAACATTGGATAATTACCCCACATGGGACTTCAGCCTTTCCATTTTTTTTTTTTTAAAGACATATTTCCCTTTCTTGGACAGAACACCCCAGTTTGCCTGGACACAACTGCTGTCTCAGCCCCCATAATGCCCCCCGAGCAGCCGGTTCTGCCCCCGGCCACCCTCTCCCCTGCTCCACTACCACCACCACCACCACAGAGGGTCACCCCAGATTTGGAGCAGGCCTGGATGGAGCTTTTGTCCCTCCCTGAGCTGCAGGTATAATACACTGACTCTACCACCTCAATGGCAGGGTGTTTTTTGTTGTGGAACAAATACCCAAAGAATTCATCAGCGGGCAGGAGCCCAGCATTAGAGGACAAACACCTTTTTGTTGCTCTGTGGGACAGGGGTCTCATACATGCCACACAGGTGCACCTGGCATTCCTCTGTTATTAGGTTTCATTGTTAAGACTTTTCAAAGAATTAGGGAGTTGGGTGTTTGAGATGTGTTGTTGTTTCTATGATTAACAACCACTAGATTCATTAAGCAGAAAAGAAGAAATCTTGTTTGGACAGGGTGCGCTAATCCTAAAGCGTTTACGTTCTGGCAGCAACATAAAAAAGTGTGCCTGCAGTTTTTCAGTAGTTACCTTATCGGTTTTGTTTTGAGGCAGCTCAAATTTGCATTAGCTGATGGGTGGAGCAGTGTGCCATTTGTTGCCTTGACCTCTCACTCTGAACTAAACTAACTAAATCCCAACCATGCAGCTTACATAGCATTGCATTAGGTTCTCTGGCAAGCTGCTGATAAGACTTTACATTGTAGGGAAAAAAAGGTTGTGTGGTTGTTTCTGTTTGTGTAAGCTGCTTTGGGAAGATAATGTACTTGGGTAACTTCACAGCAAGAGGGAGATTGGTATTGGTGATTTCGTATACATTTTACCAATTGGCTACTAGCATTGGTCAGTGAAATACTAGTCAACTTAAAGACTGAATTATTATTATTTGGGAAGATAATAAGTTAAGTATGCTTTTATGTCAGTCAGTACATATTATATATGCAACAACAACAACAACAATATTTGCATTGTCAACAAAGCAGATTTGTGAAACATTTAATGTTTTTGTTTTAATGGTTCTTTATCTTTTTTTCCAGCAATGCCTGAGCATGCAGATGGAAGACACACTTGAGACCACAACTTATCCACTTCCAAACAGCCCTGAAGTTCAGGATCCAAACTACAGTTTTTACCCCATGACCAATCTCCCAGACAAAACCAACAGTTTAAATGTCTGCCCTGCTGAGTTTATGAATACATTTGATGGCTCTGTTCACAATTTGGCCCCAGCAGAGAATCTCGGCCAGATAAGGGCAAACGCTCCTCAGTTAAATGCTAATTTAACTGCTGAAAGTTTCTGTGAGATATACTACCCCAATGTCATTCTGGAAGAGAGCAGTGGTCAACATGGCCTCAAAGAAAATGAAAGTAATGCCATGCCTGATATCCCAAACAAGCCTTTCTTCACCCCATTGGACCCTTACAGCCTTTCACCAGGAGATGCGTTTGACAGAGGTAAACACAATCTATTGGTAGAACTGCCAGACTCGGATTCAGGAATCTCTTCAAACACTAGCCCCAATGCTAGTTCCCCTGGGAAGTCTGTGTATGGCAATGACTCCTATGGTTACAGCGATTCAGACATGGATGAGATGGATGACAATCCTGGAAGTGCAGAATCTGACTACTCAGAGATGTTCTCACTCAATTTCCAACCTGATGATCATCAGATGGCAATTTCTGTGTCCGCACCGCTAGGGCAAACACAACAGGAGAAGAATCCCAAACAACACAGGACGGACCCAGCAGAGGACGGCGGGCATAACAGCGCCCCCTTCGCCAAAGACAAGCAGAAGAAACGCTCGGAAGTACGTCTCTCGAGAGACGAGCAGAGGGCCAAGGCCCTCAAAATCCCTTTCACGGTTAGCATGATTATCAATCTGCCTGTTGATGACTTCAACGAGCTGATGTCAAAGCACGAACTGAATGAAGCCCAGCTGGCCCTGGTCCGAGACATACGCCGCCGCGGCAAAAACAAGGTCGCTGCCCAGAACTGCCGCAAACGCAAGATGGAGAACATAGTGGGTCTGGAGAGCAACCTGGACTCACTGAAGGACGAGAAGGAGCTTCTGCTGAGTGAGAAGAGCGAGAACATCACAAACATGAAGGAGATGAAGCAGCAACTCAACAGCTTGTACCTGGAGGTCTTCAGCATGTTGAGAGATGAGAAGGGGAACTCTTACTCTCCCTCCGAATACTCCCTCCAGCAGTCCACTGACGGCAGCGTCTTCCTCGTTCCTCGCATCAAAAAGACTTTCATCAAGACTGAAGACAACCTCTTCTCTCCTTTGTAATATGGTACTGCATTATCATAGTAATACTATGCAATAACTTTGTAGTCGTAAAGCTTTAAAGCACTAGTAGCTCAGCAGAACTATTGTATAGTTTTTGCGCACTTCTCTTGAATGTTGTAATATTTTTGATATTTTACTTCTTTTGTACTCCGATATGTTCAGATTCTTTAACCAATATTATTTGTAAATATAAACATTACTTGCTTTTGAGATTGATAAACCGTTACTGTACGTGTATATATATATTGTATATATTATATTTCTGTATGCTAAATGATTGTTTCAATCATTGTTACTCATATTTTATAACTGTCCCTTTTATGATTTGCTGCCCAGGTTCTTTTATAAAATCTTCTGTGCTTTTCAATAAAGAATTCCTATAGCTATAAAGCGTCCCATTTACTCAAAGAACATTGTGTGGTGTGCAACAGATTGATGCCAGATGGATATATAGTCTAAGGAATGATTGCATAACTTACCACATGTTCAAGTCAGTTCGTGACTTGAAGGCTCACCCAAGGGTTTAAAAAGAGGCAAAGAAAAGAAATATTGTACTGAACGAGTTATTGGCTTAAACCACTTTTTACAATCGGCTTGTTTTCTTTAAGAGCAAGCTTGTTTGTACAGTAACCTAAAGCTTTTAATACTGTGAAACTCCAGTCGGACAATAAATCACACCCACTGCATTCATTGTGACGCAACAGCATAGTATGCTCTGTTTGAGCAATGCATGACAACTTCACAAAGGGCCAACCCGGACAAGCATTCAAAGATAAAGCCCACGCAATCACTGTGTTCTACATGCACTCACACACAAACACCACCTTTGATCACCAAGCCCATTTACTGCTATCATGACAAACATCAGAGGCTGTGTGGCAAGTTAAACTGGTGAGACTCAAGGCTGGCTGTGAATATAGAAACAGTTTCCCACTGACAACAGTTCAAACAGGAATGCACAGCTCAGTATATGGCTTACAGAAATAAAAGACTCAAATCATGAAAAATATTTTTATTTTAAGAGTATAAGTCAAACTTTACACATTTTACAGTTTAGCCAACATAGTTAACTGACTCTGGGGTGCTTCTGCCAAGCACGTCTTTATTCGGTGAGTTGGGTCATTCTACATTCCTCTGCAGAAACACTATCCCTTAACTCAGTGCTTCTCAAACTTTTTTCAGTAATGTACCCCCTTTGAAACATTTTCTCAGCCCAAGGACCCCCTGACCGATCCCGAACATTTTTGATCAAAAAAGCCTATATAAATAATTACAATATAGTGATGTTCCCTCAGTGTGTGATGTATTAACTCCTTCTTGGTATGCATTACAACAAACTAATGATATTTTAATTTTATGCATGAAAAAAAATAACATAACACTTTTATAAAATAGATTTTTCCAAGGAGTTTTTCAATTTAAGTAATATGTTATTGTGAAAAGCTATAAAATACAATACACACATTTGACATGTTTATATGATGACCCCCTTGGTGGTCATAGGAATGTTTTATATACAATTGTGTTTTCTATTGAACTTATTTTACTAAGATTATTTTTTTAATTAACCTTTTTTTTTTTTTTTTTTTTAAATCTCACATACCCCTTGCAGTACCCCCAGGGGTCCGCGTACCCCCATTTGAGAATCACTGCCTTTACTGATTGAGAAACAACAGGTATGGTTTCTTTATTTTTTTTGATCGAGTAGACATGACCTGCGTGGAATCCACTGAGTGCATGTATCATTCATTTTGAACAAGATCATATTTGCATCATCAATTATGTCGGTCACATTTCAATGGATGGACATTGATCTTACATCAACATTAATTTAAATAAACGTTTTTGTATAGATCACTCTCAAGACAGCTATGCATTGTGTAAATATAACGTATAAGGGTTTGTAATTGGAATGAATGTTTAAACATTCTGTTTTACCTGCTTAACAGGTACATGTACAGGATTACCCCTTTATGTTAAGCAAACCTTATAAAATCAGCTTGAAACTCCAAACTTATGTTGAACTCGGCTAAATATTCAGTACTTTTACTGAAAAAGTTTTTAAGCTAAAAGGTAAGATTTGTCTACACTATTCCTTTGACAACTAGGAGTATTTTTGAATAGATTTGCTTTTCAACATGTCTTCAAGTTAAACCATTGTCTTTGTCACATTAATTTTCTATGACATGCCTTTGCAGTAATTATAGTTAACTTAAGAGTTACAAATCTGTTATGCGTAGATTTATTTACAGACTGCCAAGAGCGTTAGCACTGCAGGATGCAAGTGATTGCTTGACATTGATATCGACAATGGTCACTGTGACTATTTTATAAAAAGGTACATCCATACAATATAATGCAAATCTATACAACTGTTTTGCCATCTACTGTTTTTTGATGGAGTTTTTACATCACCTCAAGGCTGTTCATTCAATATGTTTAACACTGAGGTAAGTTGATTGTAGACCTGCTGTATTAAATTGTGATATTGTTTAATATAGGTGTGCCTAATAGTGGCCAGGGAGTGTAAATATTGTTTCTTTCCTGAGCATGCTCATTTGTTTTCCCTTAAGGATGTTTCAGCACCATGAACTTTATCAGGACTGACAGATGGCAAAGGTAATAAAACATATTTTGCTTGCAAGATATGTCCAGCTGTGGTGAAGGTCACAGGCTGATTCAGGTCAAAGAGGAACAATACCTGAAGTGCTCCTGCTCCCTTTACCTTAAAAGAACCTTTGCACCTGGTGTGATTACCATTTGCGCTGTTAGATTACATAATGAGCAGCCTTTGATAATATTTTGAAAAAAGTCTTACCCATCCAGAACCTTCCATGTTATCAGGTCTTTACAGATTTTCAGCAAGAAGAGAATTCCTCTTTTCCACATCTGCAAATCAAGCAAAGTGGTTACTCTTACCTGCTTCATCTTCTTAAGTCAGCTTTTTGTGAAATACTCACTCCCTTTTCTCGTTAATGTCTGAAATCTAGCACTTTCGGGTAAAACTGCAGTATCTCTGACTCAACAGGATCTCCAATGTGTCCAGGAACTATTCTTTCTTCGCTAGAACCAGCTGCTGGAGGGTTTAGCTAGCCTTGACAGAGATAGACGCTCACTATCAGAAGCTTCCTCCATGGGCGTTGTGCTCGATGCTGCCTTCTCTCTGTCTCTCAAAATGCTGACTGGTCCACTGTGCGGGGGCTGCAGACGTCTTGTCTGACTGTCATCTGCAATCTTCCACACTAGCGATGCTGAAGGCTCAACTGCAGGTGCTTGTGGCCGTTATAATCCTAAACGCTCAAAACTGGCATAGGTGGTGTATGGGCCTTTGCCCTAGGACTACCAGAAACTCCCTTGTCATTGACATTTGTACAAATAAATACAGTATATTTACAATTTCACCCAAAGAAGTCTTAAATAGTCCCCAAAAAGAGGAAGAAGTGGTTCTGGACAGGCAAATTTGTCTAACTTCACAGTCAAAATGTGTGCAGGCAACAGATAAATAACTCGTGTGATTTCTTTCTGGACCAATGATGCACTGAACCTCTTGTCACTTTACTAAACAATTTTATTTGGTCTTTTTCTTCTAATCCAAACAAATCTAAAATGCTGTGTGCTGGGAAAAAGAGTGAGGGATTCCCTTGATTCTAATCCAGATTGCTTATGTTTGTTGACACTGGTTATACTAAGGATGTACATACTGTGCTTCACATAAACAAATTACACTTGACACTTGCAAATGAGCAATCATAATAACTTTAAAAAAAGAAAACAATTTTCTCTTCACCCATGATACCATAGGCACAATATACACACAGAAAAAAAAAATAGCTGGGTAGGGAAACATCTATCACAATTAGGGAGGAGTATCATCTGCACTCATGTCTTGTGTATACAGTCCTTCTTCCATAAACTTCTCCGATTTAGCTGCCGTAATGTCTGACTTGAGTGTTCCTCTAATGCTTTCAGATGACTGTCTCAAAGTAACCTGCGGCTTTCCTGACATTTCCTTTGCTCATCTCCTCGCCTCTCCTGCTAAGAACTGAAGCCTGTTGAATGGATACAGGATAGAACAAATAGTTAATCTGCACTTTCAAGGGCTCAGTCTGTACTGTGCTACGAGTGTGTTGTTGAACTGAATGCAACTTACCAAAACATGATATAATTAATATCGCCGAGAGCCATAGCCCCCTCCTCCGCCGGCGCTGCTCCCGCCACCGGATCCATGGCCACCTGCAGTTAAAGATTAGTACCCGCAAAATACGTTGGATAATTTTCAGCAGAAATTATGTAATGTCAATAAATGCTTGATTTTGAGAGTCGGTGGTAACACTCACCACCATATGGTGCACCTGAGTTTCTGCCACCAAAGTTGTTTCCCTTCATGGCCCCATAGCTGGACTGCTGGCCACCATAATTTCCAAAGTCATTGTAATTTCCCCCTCCTCCATATCCTGAAAAATAAATGTCCATGTTAAAGGTAAATCTTTAAATCTGGTGTTTAGTACAGCCAGTTTTCTAATAATATCTAAAACTTAGTTTAACAAATCACAATTCTCAACACCTTTTTTGAATGTTATTTTACCTCCGTCATTGCCTCTGTATCCTCCATCACAGTTTCCACCTCCCTGGTTGCTATACCCTTGACCACCACCACCACCACCACCACCACCACCACCTCCATAGCCCCCTCTGCCACCTCCATAACCTGGTCCTCCACTATAATTACTTCCTGGACCTGGAACAGTCAAAAACAAAGCAAACTTGCGTATTACAACATAACCTTATAATTCATATTCACTGTGACATGAAACACTCATGCTTTTCATTAACATAAAACTCCTTCCGCCTCATCCTAAAGTAGATTCTTTTTTTCTTTCTTAAAAAGCTCACCATTGTCAAAATCATCGGCATAACCGCCTCGTCCTCCACCATAGCCTCCTAAAACACAAGTGTAAAATAGAGTAACGCATTAAAGCTGAAGAACTGTATTGTAGATTTGTGTTGTATTTTGGAAACTCTGTCTAAGGCATGGCAACTGCACATGAAAATCAATACTGATACATTAAGTTTGAAAACAGATCTTTCACCAAGCTGAGCAACCAGTTTTACCAGATAGCTATAGCTACACCATATTCATTAAAAAAAAAAGAGAAGAGATACAACTATTTTACTTCCTTTAGTGCGTCAGTACAAATGAGATCCTGAAACCTACTCTCCCTCGTACACATCCCTATTAAATGCATCTGCTGTTGTGTAATTAGTGACAGAGGAACTTTAATCTGGCTTTCAATTACTACTCACCTCGACTGAAGTTGCCACCACCACCAAAATTACCTCTTCCCATGAAGTTTCCAGAACCTCCACTCCTGTCTGATATGTACAAATGTGTCATTTTAGAACCCTTAACAACATCAATGAACTGATGGCTGAAAAGACTAATTAAATGTTCATTAGGAATATATTTATGGTGTGCTTACCCCTGCTGGTGGACATAGTACTCATTTCCTGTTTTGAGAGGGCCTTTCTGACCTCACAATTGTGGAAATTGATCGTGTGGAATTTCTGGGCTGTGAGGAAAACAAGAACAATACACTTACATACCATTACTAAATGTTGCCTGAAAGCTGTGTTCACTCTAAAAACTAAACACATACCAACTATTTTGTCCACTGTGTCATGGTCTTCAAAGGAGACGAAGCAGAATCCTCTCTTCTTCCCAGTGGAGCGCTCTTCTATGATGTCAATGCATTCAATCTTTCCATATTTTTCAAAATGCTCTCTGATGTGGTACTCCTCGGTATCCTCTTTGATCCCACCGACAAAGATCTTCTTGACGGTCAGATGGGCGCCGGGTTTATTGGAGTCCTGAAACAGTGGGCATTAATGAGCACACAACAAACACCAACATGGCTGTAGTTTCTGCCTTCAGGACGGGGATTTGTTTACCTCTCTGGACACGGCCCTCTTGGGTTCAACAACACGACCATCCACTTTATGAGGCCTTTCAGCCATGGCAACGTCGACTTCTTCTACAGCCGCATACGTCACAAAGCCAAACCCTCTAGAACGCTTGGTGTTAGGGTCCCTCATCACCTAGAAAAACCAAAGACATACACAATGGTGGTGATAACAGTTTAACAAGATGGTGGCTTTGAACATTAATATGGTTTCTTATTGTAGAGGCCATAATGCCAAACATAACAACAAAACATATACGTACCACACAATCGGTAAGAGCTCCCCATTGTTCAAAATGAGCCCGTAAACTCTCCTCGGTTGTTTCAAAGCTCAGTCCTCCAATAAACAGCTTTCTGAGCTGCTCAGGTTCTCTAGCTTCACGCTCCTATAAAAGGCATAACAAGAAAAATATATAATTGCCGCTGTAAATAGTGTTACATGAAATAAGTACGATTACTACTGCATGGATGAAGTTACTACCATCTACTGGGAAGATTGTGGCCCTCCCACCCTGCAAACAAACTGTACAATATAATATACTGCAGCTTGTCATTTATTACATTGTATTTTTAGTTTCTTTTGTATACTTATATTTGGTGTAAAACGTGCCATTATTATATTTTATTTTTTATTGTAGTACTATTTTTGACCTTTTCTGTTAGAAGTTATTTCCTTATGTTGATAATGTTAGCACCACCATACACCAAAGCAAATTGCTTGTATGTGTAAACGTACCTAGCAATACACTGGATTCTGATTCTCTCGCGGATTGATAAATGCACACAAATATCGCGAATACATTGTTTTTATTTCCCCCCGTCACCATTCAAGCGACAGACCGCGCTATGTTGAATGTTGAATATATCATTGCACTGTAAAATAAAGTTGTCAAAAAACCCAATGCACGAACAAACAGTTATTTTAACAATGATTACAGTTGACAACAGCTGGGTTAGCCTGGCGGGCCTCAGCAATGACGTTAGCGTTTATGTTAGCTTACTTTAGTAAAGCTGCAGGTTGAGCCTTGCGTTATAACCAAAAACAAAATGTATCTATTAATTATATTGATAAAATGCGTGTCAAAGGAAGCCAACAACAACGTTCATGTAACAGTCAAATGGAACTGTCAAACAACAGAGCTTTTGGTTGGTTTTACCACCATTAGCTTATCTTAGCTGCAAGGCTAGCTACTTTAAACAGCGATGACTTTGGGTCAACGTTTAAGCAACACGTTTCAACACAACACCTTGCATTCATTCGTCACTGTTATACATATTTTTGTAGAGTAAGCGATGCTTTAATGCGTTTTAAATAACCGTATTTAATGTGCAACATTTGCGAAAACTCACCTCCATTTTGCTGTTCATCACTGATTAGCTAAGTGTGTCGCGTCACGTGTCGCGTGTCACGTAATTTTGTTCAGTCCTTCATCTTCTTCTCTTCTCTTTTTATTGGCGGATCGCAAACAATGTAAAGGTGTAGACCGCCACCTACTGTACAAGAGTGTTATCATCATGTCATTTCCCAATGGATGTACAACCATGATTTTAGCTATCTTTTAAATTATTCTCACCAATCCTGTTTCACTTATGAAGGTAGTTCTTACCCATATCCTTTTATTCCCAGTATCCCCATCAGGTTCCCTGGTCTGTTCTGGAAAATAATCAAAACTCACATTTTAGTACATGAAAGCTACAGTGATTCATGCAGTTTATGATGCATACATTATGTACATGAGGGATTGTTTTTTTATATATATAAAGTTGTTTTCGCCCAATTTGTCCCTTTTGGCTGTCTAGTTTTGTGCAATACAAGGGAGAATTGTTTTTATAATTTGCGCCATCTACTGGTTATAAAGGTCTTGACAGAACAGTTGATGTTCACCCAGCCATTGAATTGTTTGGGCAGAGTTCAGTCCATAATAAATGTGATATTGAATTCACAAGGGACCCAGCTGAGTGCTGTTTACAAGTAGCACACATACATAGGGTGCACTTCTATAGTAGGCTTTACCCACACTTGACGTTAATTAACGTAGATTTTTGGGTGTGGATTTATTTTGATGGCCATTTCTGATCTCAACTGCTAATTTTGTGTCTGCTGTTTATTTAAACACATATTTTAATCAAGTGAACTGTTGGTGGTCTACCATTTAAGACAATTTTTGCAATTAAAAAAGACACAGTATGTCTTTAGAGTATAGATTCATAACATTACATTGCATTTAGCTGACGCTTTTATCCAAAGCGACTTACAATAAGTGCGTTCGACCAACAAAATACAACTTGAAGAAAACAGAATCATATAAGTACATCAGGTTTCATAGAGCAAAAACATTTCAAGTGCTACTCAACTGGCTTTAGAAAAGCCAGTCCTTTATTAGTATAAAAGTACTTCGTTAATAGTTCATAACAAAGCCAATTCAAAATGAACTAACAACCCTGAATACAAATATAGGCTAAACAGGAGGATGGGCTTTAAAACAAAAATGGATATCTTATAAGGACACCCAGGACTTGCAGACACTAGGATGCATTGTTTTTTGGGGTTAGTTTTGTTTACCACTACAAGCATGCATTTAGCCACACACAGTTCCTGTTTCTTAATGCATTTCTTCATTGTTTGGCACCCTAGTGTGAATTTTGCAACTTAACCCCTTGGCACATGACAAAGTTATTCAACGTTGTAACTGATACTAAACATTACAACTACAGTGTGAGTTTCAACACTATAAACAGTAGGCCTATGTTTCCAGTTCCAGCATCATTATTTGTATAAGTTGGTGTTTAAAGTAAGGCAGCTTACAGAAATAGCAACTATGAAAGGCAAAAAAGTCAGACATAAGCGCGGCAATACTGAAAAGGAAAAGAGTAACACACATAATAGGTGGAGCAAATTAACTTAACAGAGTTGTATATTCACTGGAGGGCTATTGTATCGTATTGTAAGGAGGTGTTTTGTTTGTCTATTTGTTATATCATCGTCTCAAACAGCGCTTTCATCGTTAACGTTCATGAAAACATTCATTCATAATAACATATAGCACGATGTTAAACATTAAGCATACATTTCTCAGACCAAATGCCCTCAGAGCACGCATGGTTAAATGTGTAACAAGGCTGATATTCAAGTTATTTTCAGCTGTAATTGTGGAAACATGACATACATCTGTGTTTTTAAATCAAGTCAAATCACTCTGACAATAATACTTGACCGGGCAAGGGCAAAGATTTATGAGCCAGATGTTACTGAGCCTGTTGAAGCTGACCAGCGTCCGAATATATGACTGTTTTATGGTTAAGACAATGTCTGTCATTAACTTTATTGTAGTGTATTGTAGTGTAGTGGAAAATACAGCCCCAATAAAAAGGGTAATGTTTTTCTGACACTGTTAATGATGAGTATTTATGATCAGTCCATAGTTGAAATTCACATGCAGGCTGTATTTTGCCCTTCTTATTCTACATAAGTTACTGTATTTGTTTAAAGATTATCGTTACATTTGTAAGATAACAACACCAGCCGATAGAGCAAAAATGGCTGCATTAAATGCAAAAAATATGCATAATTCAGGCCAAATTATAGTTTTGACTGTGGGCTACATTTTTGCTTTAAGTGAGCTCCTAATGAATGTGAGTAATTGGTAACATAATTATATATATATATATATATATATAATATATAGAGTATATTCAGAAGGCTACCCTTGATTAGGGTGCATTATTGTAAGCAGTAACACCAATATCACCTTTTTTCTATTGTTTAACATCTTTATTTTTGATGCCCTGCCATGTGGGAACATATGTAAACATAATTTTCATCTTTTCAGATTGGTAATGGTACTGCAGACCACAAAGAGCTGCTATATATTATCTGTGTATTTGCTCTGGAGGCCTGTTCAGCCAGACCAACATTACAGACTCTGAACCCTGTGTGAAGTACAGCAGATGGTTAGGGTATTTTCCAAATGTCAAGGTGAATGTTCGTCTTTGTTTGAATTGTGACGACCAGGAGTTACCCAAACAAGCATTAGTATGCAATGTGTGGTCGTGCAACAATAACTGACACCATATTCTGTCTGAGAACTGATCTTCCTCGTTACCGTAGCTTCGATTTTAAGGGAAATGTATACCATGTATAAATCAACTTTTTGACAGCTGAGGTTCTTATGAAATAAAAAGTTTTAAATCACAACATTTATTAATATAGCTAATGCTTTTTAATTAATTTTAACATGGCAGTTTGAATTTGTTAAATAATGTCAGAATCTGATATGTATAACCATGTGTCATTGGAGAAAATAACTAAGTGCAACTACTCAGTGAGTACTATATTACGGTACTTAACTTAAAGTCTTTCACATGATATTATTTCATACTTCTCTGCATTTTATAAAACAACATTAGATATATATATATATATATATATATATATATATATATATATATATATATATATATATATATATATATATATAGTTGCTTTAAATTGAATAGTTAATAGCAATACATTCATATTTAATGCAAAACATACTAATTTAACAATGTGTTATGGTGAATAGTGAATAAATAAGTTTGAATTTGGTTCATGTTAATAAAATGAAAACCTATTAATGCTGATGTACTAGAGGCGGCTGTGGCTCAGTGAATAGAGTGCTGGACTTCGAATCAGGGAGTAGCAAGTTCGAGTCCCACTGCAGTCAGCATGTTGTTGTGTCCCTGGGCAAGACACTTCACCCCAAATTGCTCCTGTGGGGATTGTCCACAGTACCAAATGTATGTAAGTCGCTTTGGATAAAAGCATCTAACAAATGACATGTCATGTAATGTACCTTTGCCTTAATGACATAGAAGACTTTCATTTGGATTTCTTTAAATGATTTTAACGTTATCACTTTTATTCAAGTAAAATACCCTGGATACTTCTCACAACACTGCCAGTAGTATCTGTATTTTCAAGATAATGTTTGTAATTGACTTATTTCAACAAGACTGAAATCACAGTATGTCGAGTTTCAGAATAAATGTTGTTTAATGGACTGTATGCCTTTTAATAAAAACAACTTATTACTCACAAAAATGCTTTTTGGCTTATGATATTCACTATGAAAAAGTGAATGTACCTTGATAGAATTACACTTTGCCCAGCAATCATTACCATGGGCCTGATAAATAACCTGATAATTAAAAGCCTACATCTGAGATGTTGTAAGGTGGAGCTAAGCTGAGTGCAGTGAGAGCAAACAGTACAGTATCAGCCTCTCACAGATGTAGTTTGATGGATGCTCTGTGTACACCTCCTCGCCCCAACCTCAGGACAACATGTTTGTTTGGTTGTTGATCACACCCCGCAGTCTTTGTACCTAACTGCCCCATGACACAAAGATATATCACAGGTCCCACACAGTGCTACCTGCCAGGGACATTTCTATTCTGTCCACTGCTTTGTCCTTTTATATGACATTTTAAGATACAGGTTTTTATTTCTTCAGTCTCATCTCCTGTATTACCACTGTGGTTTTGCATATTCATCACTAATTTGTATTCCAGTTGGCCTTAAACTGGGTCTAGCGCTAAAAAAACTGAGATTTAAATGTAATTAGCAGTTCACTTACATTAAATGGGGTGAACAATTAATAAAAGTAATAGTTAATGAAGCTAATAAAAAAGTCTAGGTTTGCTCTGATTTACCATATCTTGATTGTAACTTTTCTGTGACAAATGAGTGATATAACGATCCCCTGCAATAGAGGGGGATGACATCCTGGTGTGGACTAAAAGGCAGCACTTAGAACCACGATTAAATAATTAATACAGGTTTTATACCCATTTTACACCTCCAAATTATGGTTTGCTATATATCTGAGACGCAGTGGCCGAAGAGTACCATGTCAGCAAAAATTCCATGTACAGTAAATCTTTGTGAGGGAGGAGCCATGGGCTGCAAATCATCTGTGAGGTAAGGGATGGCATGAATATAACCTTTCCCCCTTTTATTCTTATCAGGTGGCGAAGGGTGAAAATATAGAGCACAGAAACACACACACACGTACACCCTCACTTATCAAATTGTATCGGTTTTGGCCTTTGTAGCGGTTTAATTGAATTAGATCAATATAGCATTGCTGCTCTGATTGCACTCTGTTCAGCTATAGAGGAAGTGCTCCAACAGTAGGTGGCACCATATCACAATGCTCCATAAGGTGCCAGTGTCAAGGAAGACCAGCTAAGCCTGTAGGGTTTCATTTCCAATAATTCCCCTTAATCCTCTCCAACAAAAAAAAAAGAAGTTTGCATGACCAAGCACAAGCCCCACTATTTACACAGAGCAAATAACAACACTAACATGTAATCTATAAATGAGGGCCATATTGTGCCTGATGTTCAGCGTCCTCTAGATGGCACCATGGTCCATGAAAAGATAGACCTTTTATTTTCAAATCATATCACCTTGTAAATGTCAAATAATGTTCCTTGACA